CATGCCTTCCTCGTTGCTGCAAGGGAGAGCACAGCACTGGCTTATGGGGCCATCCGCTCACGGACAGGGGCACCCACCCATCACCCCCACCTCCTCCCACCTGCAGCAGCTCCTGGTCCCCAGACACTCACTCGATGATCTCCAGGACCTGCTGGGTCTTGAGCACATCCTTGGTCCTCAGGACGGCAACACTGCTCCCAATGAAAAGCGCTTTCTCTGCAGCCAGGGCAGTCAGCGCGTGCCGGACGATCTCCCCCAGGTAGAGGCTGCCCACCAGCTTCTCAAACCTGTGTGCAGCCCAAGCAGGGGTCAGTCGTCCCCCCCTGGCACCCCTCAGCCCTTTGAGAGCACCCAGGAGTGTCGCAGGGGGCCATGTGCTCCTGTTGGTGGGGCCTGGCATGCTCAGGGATGGACGGGGAGCCCCAGGCACCCCGCCCTCACTGGGGGGGTGGGAGCACCTCTTCTCCCCGGGGCTGGAGGATTCCTGGTCCACGCGCTGGTCATAGGGGGTCAGGACGTCACTCAGGGTGCCATCGTCCCCGAAGCAGCCCCACTCGGTGTTGACACACATCCGCCCACTGGTCTCCTCCGCCATCTCCACCTGCTGTGCTTCGGCCATGAAGCAGCTGTTGGTGCCCGTGTCTGCAGGAAGCAATGGGGATAAGCACCGGCGCAGCCCCCCCAGCACCCACCACCCTGGCATGTGGGGTGCCCGCTGCTCACCCACGACCAAGGCGACCTCACAGGGTTCTCCCCCCATGCTGCAGGTCATCATGGTGCCCACAGTGTCATTCATCAGGGCAACAACGTCCACGTGGTAGAGCTGGCCGGGGGCAAAGCAAGAGCATTGTTAGCCCTTCCACGGGGGCAGCCCCCAGCCAGGCCCCCCTACCCCCCCCCCCCCACCCCCCCCGCTTGATGATGGCCGACTGCAGCAACTGCACAACATCCTTCCCCTCCACATCACTGCAGCTGAAGCCCTTGGACCAGGAGATGAGTTCGT